AGATGTGTATAAGAGAAAAAAATTATCATTACCAAATCATATAAACCGAATCAAAAAAAAAAAAATTTATTTACGAACATTTCTTTTTTTTTTTTTAAAAAAAAAAAGAGAGAACAATTTATTAAATTAAAAAAATCATTAATAAAAGAGAAACGAGTATACGTTTCAATACAAAAAATTGTAGATATAATAGAACTGGTTTCATTTTTTACGACAAAAAAAAAACAATTCATTATTATATAAAGATCGTACGTGAACAAAATAAAAAAAAAAAATTTTTTTTTTTTTTTAATTCCCGAGTTCCCCTTACACAACACACGAGATTCAATCATTCCCCCTCCCCTTTGTACCACACATAACACTTTTTTTTTGTCGTTGATTTCATCATAAATTACGCAGTCGTTTGTTATTATGAGTCTCTGGCAACAACAAGTTTATTCAACGCATTTATTGTTTACAGATACACCAAGAGAAAATTATCTTCATCAATATAGTTTTGAAATTTTAAATCATACTTCATTTAATTTCGCCCGACCAGGTACTCCAACAGATTCTCATACTGCAGCCATGACAGCTGAACGAAGAAAATTATTTGAACAACTTCCTAGAATCAATACAGAAGTCAGTAATAATAAAAAATGTGTTTTGAAAGAACCACAACCACAAAAAAAATTGACGACGATGACGACGACGACGACGACGCAAGTGACGCAGTTGACACAAACTTCAGAAAATATAAATTCTGACGTTACACAAAATGGTGCCAGTGTAAAATTTTCTAATGATGTTACTGCGGTACCTAATAATGAGGATGATGTAAATAACACAAAGAAAAAACATAAATTGAAAGCACATCGTCGTGCTTCGGCTCCTGCTCAAGGAATTGACTATTACTTTAAAAATGCCAAATCAAAAAAAGATGATAATGTTTTAAATTATTTTGAAAGACAACGTCGTCAAAATAATATACCATCCGTTCATATTGAACTTGACGAATCTCTTGAAGATAATAATGATAATAATGTTAATCAAAATCATGATGTTAATCAAAATCATAATGTTAATCAAAATCATAATGTTAATCAAAATCATAATGTTAATCAAAATCATAATATTGATCAAAATCAACAACACCATCATCACCACCATCATCACAATAATCCAAACTCTGCAACATCCATGGTATCCCCAAGTGATCATCATCCTCCATCATTATCTCCATGTTCTTCCACTTCTTCATTAAGTTCTGCTGTTGAAATGTTAAGTCCTGAGAATACTAATAATCAACCATTCGTTCCTCAAGATTGTAACTATTGGTCAATTAATCCAAAATCGAAAACTATTCCCACTAATCATTACAAAACTGAATCACATTCTTATCCTGATAATATGGTTGGTTCCCTATATGATAATGTACCATGGTCTCCTGCCGTTTCATTTTTATCTAATTTGGCAAATTCAACTGTAAGAAAAGTTTTACCTGATGAAGAAGGTCAACAAATTGGTGAATATATCATTGGAAAAATCGTCGGAACCGGTGGTTTTTCTGTTGTTAAACAAGCTCATACTATGGATAGTTATTCAGGTTCTATGGAAACCGTTGCTGTCAAAATCGTGAAAAATCATCCTGGATCTGATGATAACGATAGAGTTCAGGTTAGAATTTTTTACACACGCACACGCATATATATTTTAAAAATTAGAATGATGTAATGGTGTATTAAATAAATCCTTTTATTTATTTTTTTTTTAGGCATTGCTTGAAAGGGAAATTGCAATTTGGCGTAGACTTGATCATCCAAACATTGTACATTTTTTATCCGTTGAAGAAAATGACTACGCTACATTTGTATTTTCAGAATATTGTCCAGAGGGTACCCTTTTAGATTTTATAAAGAAACATCGTAAACGTGAAGGAAAAGGATTGGATGAAGATGTAGCAAGAAATATTTTCTTGGAAGCAGCAGAAGCAGTACGATACTTACATAATGATATGAGACTTGTACATAAAGATATCAAATTAGATAATATACTATTGGATAAAGATGATACTTGGAAAATTTGTGATTTTGGTTTAACAGAATTTCAAAATTCTTCTAATGGTTATAATAACTTTTTATATAATAATGTTGGAGGATCATTAGCTTATTGTGCACCTGAACAGTTAAGATCTCCTATACCACTAAAAGATCCTTCTGTTGATGTATGGAGTTTAGCTGTTGTGTTATTTGCTATGGTAACGGGTCAATTACCGTTTAATGATGATTTTGAACCAAGGTTACAATTTAAAATTATTAATGGACGTTATGATGAATCTTTATTGGATGATGCTGGTGTTAGTGATGAATTAAAAGATTTATTTAAAGGGATGTTCAAAACAAAACCTGATCAGCGTTTAACAATCTCTCAAGTATTAGAACATCAATGGTGTGAACGATGAAATAAGTGATGGGAAGGAATACATGTAAATGTGTATTACTTGTAAAATGTTTATTACTTGTATTACTTGTATCACTTGTATAAAAAAAAGGGATATAATTTATGTGAGGAAAAGTAAAAATTTTTTTTTTAAAAAAAAAAAAAA